CTTTGCTTTCTACATGCTGTTCAAAAATTCTGAATAAGAGTGCAGTTAATGAAGTATTACAACTAAAACCTAATTTCTGACACTTAATCAGAGATCTGATTTGCCTTTGAGAGTATAATTACTATTTTCTTTTAGCCTACTCCCCTTTTTAATAGTCTTGCATTTATAGTCTTAGATGTGAGTATTAGTATTATGTTAAACAGCACTGTTAAATGAATTGTGGATTTTTAATCTGGGAGAGTTTACCTCTTCTTTTTCTGAAATCAATAATATCTTCTCTAGGCTTTGGCTGAGGATGATTATGAGGCAAGAAGGAAAGACCATATTTCTCATTTCATACTACGTCTTGCTTACTGTCAGTCGTAAGTACTTTTTAAATGATGCTATAATTTTTGGGATATTTTTAAGCATATATAGACAGAGACATTACAAACATTATAGAGCCATGTGACTACTAAATAAAGAGGCAGGTTCAGGTGGAGGCGTTTTTATTTTTGAAACTTAGATTAACCTGTGATGAAAAGAGATACTCAGGATCAAAATCAAGTTTTTATCATATTAGGTCAGAAAAATAAACTTGTCACAAATCATTAACTGATGAAAGTCTTTAAGGTAGGAGTCTTTGAAAAGTGTGCTTAAATAGGCTTAACTGCAAACTAGCTTGAATTCAGTTCCCTGCGGCCTGCGAGAGGGTTGTATTGAGACTGTTTCTCGCTATGCCGCGTATTTAAATCTCTAATGCGTCAACAGCGCCACCCAGGGGTACAAGTTTGCATCAACTTTTTCTGTACGCATCAGTCCTCGGTTATAGTTTGGATAGTTTTGTATCTGTTGTACGTGGCCGAATAGCGTTAACTGAAGAGCTCCACTGTTCTTGTCCCTTAAACTTGTAAAGTGGGTATCATCTTTGACTTTCCTTCTGCCTTCTGAAATCCAAGATAGTAAAGCTTATTTGCATATAATGTTGCGAAGATACAGTATGTACTGCCTTAAGGGTGAACAGTCTCATCCATACACTTATTTCACACCTCTGCTAATGTCATTTATATCTGTCAAGACCAGGAAATGGAGTAATCTTGTTTCGTTCACTTTGATGACAACTGTGGTTCTAAAGAGAATTTTATTAGCTTGCTGGCCATGATCATGCGTTTCTGCTTCTGTGTTGTTTCTCTCTTCACTTTATCAAGTTAGCTATTAAGGAACTTGAAAGTCACAACAGCATAACCCACATGTTACTTACTTAATGTGGAAGAACTAAATCTTGCTTCTGCCCTGATAGGGAAGCTAGCTCTTCTATTCAGTAAATTTTTTAAACATACTTCTGTGCTTGCTTTTTCTTACCTGTGTCATACAATATAGAAATAAGTTCTTTATGAACCTTTTTCCTCTTCTTGCTGTTCTTCTTTTTCTAGACAAGAAATTAGACTCTTGTGCTGAAACTGCTGCCTCTTGTATGGATTTAGAAGTTACTTTTACGTGCTCTTTACCCATGCTCCCTTTGCTATCTAACTTTTTATATTTTGAATTTGAAACTCTAAGGAATCTTCTTGTGTTGGTTGCCTAGTAAGATAGAGTTCTGACCCATGCCCAGGTTTCTACAAACTATTTTGACATTAAGTTGGTAACTAAATTGTCACATTTAAGTTTGGAATGTGAACTAGTAGTCTGAGACCCTAGATTTAGGTGCCTTTTCATATTTTTCCAAAGTACTTCTATATTGGTGCTCAACAGCAAATGCTTCGGTTCTTCCAAGCACTTCCTTTAGGAGGGGATAGGCTTTTTTGTTTTAGGGTTTGTTTTTGAGTTTTTTTTCTCTTTTGAGAAAGAGTCTGTTTGCATTAATTTTATGATTGGGAATCTACTGAGCCAAGTTAAGCTCTTGAGGGCTCTGCACAGAATATTTTAAGTAGATGAGAAATGCCTCCTGGATTTTTTTCCTATTTGTTCTGTTGCCCTTCCTAACTTCTGTGTCTCAGGTACCTGCAACTGTCCTGTTTTCAGCAGCAGACTGGTTAGTCATGTAATGATAGTGACATCACTTTTCTGTTAAGCTTGTGGTTTTAACTTAGTGTTGCTCATACATCTGGAAGGAGGATGTATAATTTTTATGTTGATGATAAGTATAAGTGACTTGGGTTTGGAAAAAAATTTAAAATTTTCCTGTGACATGAAAATGTGAACGTTATTCATGTCCTAATGATGATGTCACTATGAAATTTAGTTTTGAAATATGTGCTAAGCAGGCACAGCTGTATTACTCTTGTAAGCCAGCTCATCAGAACTGTGTAAAGAATCCAGATAGGCATGTATGGTTATAGAGTAGATATTGGAGATAAATTATCAAAACATGAAAGTATTACACTTCAGTGGGTAGGTGGGGATTATAGGCCTTGATTTCCTCTCCTGGAGGACAGGAAGAACTAGAGGTAATTCTTTGGAGATCACCTTTCAAAGCAGCTATACATTCTTGACTCTTGCTTAGGGAAACAAATGCAGTATAAAGCTGTTGGGACAAGAGTAAAATTGTGCAGAGTTATTCTTATGATTTATGCTTTGATCCCAGGATTTTGTTACCATGCAAAATGATCACAGAAGAACTGAAGATAAGTCATCAGTGTATTTCCTTACGTTTTAAGTTGCACGTGTTGTTCGTACATCCTGATCAATGACACTGCCCATGGACTATGCTTTAGGAAAGAACTAGAGCGTGCCTTTCCATCTGGAATTGTAATTTTAAAATTGATTACTTTTTTTTTCTC